TAAGTTCATATTATGATTTCCTCCAACAAATATTCGATGTGGGATATCTTTATCATTCTCTCTCTAGCCGCTACTATTGTGTTGGGATAAATAATGGTTAAAGAGTTATTTAAGTGGTGTTTGATTGAGTGCATAAATATTGGGATAAATAATGGTAATTGTGTTGGAATAAATAATGGTTGAAAAGTTTATTAAATGGCGTTAGATTGACTCCATAAATGTTGGGATAAACAATGGTTGTAGAGTTTATTAAATGAGTTGGAATCAAGGTTCAATCTCTACAAAAAATTCAATTTATTATTTTTGACATAAAGGTACCACACCAACTCTAAAAGTTTAATGTTTTTAAATGAACTTTGATGCAGTATTAATTATTTGAGAGCTTCTTTAGATGATAATTAATTTTATCTTGAATAGATTATCTTATCTAAAATAATTTTGTGAGATATAGGTACTCTTGTATTATGTATATTATTAATTTTCTATTTAGAATTTTCTTCCTTTTTTTGTTTTTGTGATTTCTAGTTATTTTTAGCTATTTTTCCAAAAATACTAAATTAAATTTCAAAAAAAGAAAAATAATAAATAAGTAGGCAAGAACCCTATATTGACAAGCAATGTGAGATATTAGGTACTCTTGTATTGTGTATATTATGCAATGTATTATTTTTTGTTATAGTTGTAATTTAGATTTTTAAATTATATGATATTATAGGAGATTTCAAATTTAGTCTTATTTGTATAGTAAAATGATGATAAAATAATAAAATACAAACCAATATAATATTGTATTTAGTTAGGTTTTAATCAATGTTTGATGAGAATCTTCATACATAGAAATAACATCTCAATATTCGCATATTTATGCAAAAAAATAAAATTTATTAATGTAGTACCCTCTTTCCTTATTCAATTTCTAAAAAGCAACATTTATAATAATTTTTAATATATTTTTTTAAAACCGAGTTCGACTGATTTAGCCGATTCCCGATCCGAAATGTTGATTTACCGATCGATGATGGCTTTTTGGGGGGTGCTCGATCCGGGGCACCGATCCACTTTTTAAACCACTTATAGCATCTAATAATATCTAATGTAGAATAAATATAGATTTAAAAAAAAAAAAAACAAAGGCCTGTAAATGGCCAGCCACTAACATCTAAAAAATAACTCAAAACAAGCTATATCTAGACACGTGACCGTGACTGTTGACACGTGACGACCCTTGAGTGACTCCTCCACCAGACCTAAAAACCTAAAAAGATCAACATGGGGAGGATTTGAACCCAGCCCATCTTGCACTCCTCTACCGCTACTTCAACGACTTGGCAATATGAAAAACTATAGTGTGTGTATATATAGAGAGAGAAATGATCTTATAGGACCCTACCCCACCCATGTGTGTAGGACCCCAAATAATCACTATTAAAAATGGCACGGATCCATAAAAAAATCAAGTCCCACACTCTTGTGATAACTTTTATAGAGATCCGTGCCAACTTTAATGGTAATACTTTGGGGTCTTACATACATAGGTGGAGAGGGTCTTATAGGAGCATCATTCATATATATATATATATATATATATGGGTGCAGTTTGCATACGGATGCATCCGTAGGTGTAGAGGTAAGGTGCACCTTCAAATTTTATCATGATATATAATTTTGATATAAAGCGTTCCTAGGATTATCTCAAAATCTATTTTTATATATAATTATAGAATTTTAAATATAAAAAATAGTTAAAATCAAGTAGATCTATAAATATATGAAAATCTTGAAAATTGACGGTGTAGATAATATATTGTAAAATGTGCTATTTATGAGACTTAAAGTCTTTTTATTTTTCATAGTCAAATATCTCGATGTCGAGATGATCAATCAAAAGGCTTTTCAACATGAAAACTAACTTTTCGATAGATTTTTGAGGGCCATCCGTGGTTCTACATTATAAGGTAGCATCCTTATATAAACTTTTTCCTATATATATATACACTAAATATAACATTTTACTAATAAAAAAAAATTACTAATAAAAAATAAATGTATAAACGCGTCTTAGCTTATCAGTTCTTTTGGCAGCAAACTGAACAGTGAAGCACTTGCGGACATGGACACCCATATTAATGTCCATGAAAGGCTGGCTACAACCTAGCAACATTGGTTTCTTTATGGGAAAATTAAATTCGTTTCATTTTATTCGACCGTTATTACATGATAGTCAAAAAAATATGATATTTATGCGAAGGTCCTTGTCCGCATGATTTTTTTTTTCTTTTTTTGAATTTTTTTTATTTTACGATATTTATAATCATTTCAATGTCAAAAGCATCGAACTCCAATTTCGTATGGTGGTCCAATGTTAAAAAAAATGGACCAACCTATAATTTTAAGTCGGTCCAATGTCTAAAACATTAGATTGCCTTAAATCTTCAAAAAATGAAGTCTAAATGCGGTCAAATGTGTCTAGTAACATGAGACCGTCTTTTCACTAACATGGTATGTGTCTCGTTGATGTATATGTATTAGTACTAGTAATATGTTTTCCTTATCATGTAATAATTACGGCCAATTAAGATTGTACACATATTAGTACTTGGTAACATAGCTCCCTTAACATGCACCAATTAAGATTTCACCAATTATTGCAGTCCGATGTTAGAAACGCCAAACCGCCTTTAAACCTCATTTTTTGAAGGTTTAAGGCGGTCCAATGTTTTGAACATTGAACCGACTAAAAAGTGTATGGAGGTCGCGGTTTGATGTTTTTAACATCGAACTGACTTATAAATATTTTAAAAAAATTAAAATAGATTTAATATGCAATTTGAGGTTTAAAACCTTGAACCAAGGGCAAACTGGAAAAAAAAAAAAAAGGGAGCAAAGACCTCCTCATAAATACTGCATAATTTGGGACCATACCTTAATAACAGTAAAAAAAAAAGGTACGGACGCAGCTTTCTGCTTCTTTTTTTATTTCCTTGGCATCACTAATGGAAAAAAAAAGGTCGATTCAAACCAGAATCGAACTGTTAGATTGGAACTTGGACCCTCTCGGTTCAAGGTAGCCCTAGTTATGGGGTTCTAATAGGTATACTCAAGCTCCCAAAAAATGTTCGGACCAAAACCAGCTGGAATATACACGACCCGACTGGTTTTATAGCCAACCGGGTGGTTTTTTAGCTAACTGGATCGGTTTTTGAAAATAGCATTATTGACGTTATAATGGCCGTTTTATAACACGAACCGTTATTTAAAACAAAGGCTATTATTTGTAGCATAAACCATTGAATCACTTTTTCAATTCATTTTTTTGCCATGTTTTGGCATTTTTCAGTATGTTTTTGATGTAAATCATCATATTTTATCAATAATACAACAATTTGGGAGCAAAAGATCCATAAAAACGGAGTTTTAGTCGATTGAAGCGGCTCTTTTTCATCAGTTTTTGAAATTTCCATTGTTTTTTCAATTAAATCTTCAATACTCAATCATTTTTTTATGAATTTTGGGGCGTTTGAAAGATGATAGAAGCTTTTACAATGCATGTGCGTTGTTATGTTCAATTATCAAAAGAACAAGGGTCGTTTTTTGCTCGAAATGTTGCTTGATTTTAAGGGTTTTTCAGAAATCGATTAATCTAAAAAACTATTTTGCCTAATAAAATTATGTCTATTTTTTATAGTTTTTAATTATCTTCTGTTTTTATTGCAATGTTATAATTTTTTCTAAAAACAACTATTTTACTTTATAAAATTTGTTTTTCTTTTAATTTTATATTGTTTTTTTAATATTGCAGTTTTTTATATATATTTATTTTATTTTTATAACATTTAGACTTGAATGCATACGTATATGTATTTGCTTGTTATTTTTATTTCTTTAATAATCTAGTATGTTCCTTTCTTCTTCTTCTTTTTTCATGTTTTATGCTATTATTTGTTTATCTTTGCTCTTATTAAGTTTTTGCCTGTTTAATTGTAGTTAAGGTTTTCTTCTATTTTTGTAATAGCATATCTCTTTGATGAGTGGCTCACATGAAAATAGAAAATCCTAGAATAATGCAAATATGACATCTGAATTACTAGATAATATTTGTTTGTTGTACTAATTAAAAAAGAAAAAAAATTCCAATGTACCTAGTGTGTTCTTAATCTTTGAAACAAATTTGTTTTTTTTCCCATGATATAGTTTTATAAATTAACTTTCTATTATGGAAAAGAAAAAGTTTATATAGAGCCAAGGCTCTAAACAATCAAATTAGAGCTCACCTAAAAAATTTTACTAGAAGAGGTTGTTTTGATGTCCAAATATCTTAAAATTCATCATTTCGACATCAAACATGCATGGAAATGAGAAAAAAATAGATTTTAAATTTTAAAAATAGTGCATCTTGTAAAATATTTATCGACTATCAATTTTCAAGTTTTCATAGATCTGCTCGATCCACACTATTTTTAAAGCTTTAAATTTTATAATTAAAGATGAAAATATATTTTAAGGCTATCACGAAGATTTTCAATGTTGAAACCATATTTCTTGACACTACTTAAAGGTGGGCTCTAATTTGATTGTTTTGAGCCTTGGCTCTATACAATATGTACCCTTATGGAAATATAATATTCATAGATTAAATTATAAATTAGCTATCTATTACTAATTTTTGTTATTTGATTAAAAAATTTCTAAATTTACTTTTTTAAAGATAAATATTGATAATTAGATAGTATACACTTAATCTATAATTTTTTCATAATTTTTTATTTTTATGTGACCGATTTATTTAAAACAATACCATTCCAAACTGTTCTAGTTACCCAATTAGCCCCGGTTCCTATCTAACGAACCGCTTCCGGGCCATGTCCGGTTAACGGTTCCGGTCCAAAGTTCTGACTCGGCATTTTGCAATGAAGAAGTCAAATCTCCCGCAATTTCTATATCCCTCCGCTCAACATTCGTTCATTTAACTTTCCCGTTTCCCTCCAATTTCCAGAAAAACTATAAGTAGGTCCCCATCTCCCACGCCGCACACCGCCCTCTGTTTTCCACTATCGCTCTGCCATTGATTCATTCATTATAGACTGAGAGAGATATGTCTAACCACGGGGAGGACTTGGAGCTGCTTCTCTCTCTTGACGAAAGGGTTTTGGAGACCCCACCCGCTTCTCCCACTTCAGACGCTCCCCTGCAACAGCAACCAGGTCTTTCTCTTTTCTCACACCCCTCTCATTCCTTTCATTTGCTTGACCTTTTAAGGATGAATTTTATGTCCTGTTCAGGTTATGATTCCGATGATGGCCTGCTTCAGCAGCATGTGGACATGTCCGTATTCAAAGACACAGTGGGGGATTACAAGTTGTTGGCTGAAGATCCTCCAAAGAAAGTTGATTCCAATCCAAAGCAGCAGTCGGTCGATGTAGAGAAGTTCTCGGGCCTGCGTGTCAAGTACCTCGACCGTCCTCTATCATGACGCACTGATTTGTGTTTTATCCTTAACATTAGAAGGAAACTGATTGTTTGACTACTCAGGAGTCTCCTCTTATCTGCAACTTATCTCATCGATCGTTTTTCGGACATGCGCTTCATTCGATTGTCAGCCATAAGGCACGCACCCTCTCATCATCTCTTATTTGATTTTTTACTGCTTTATCTGTATCTCAACACTGGAACTCACTCATTATGGTATATTTTATCTTTTTAAGAATGATAATTTTATCGCAATGGATGGCATAGCATTCATTATCTTGTGTTTTATCTGTCTTAATGTGTTTTGTGGGGTTGTACTTTCTTAGGACTTGTTTGATGGGTGATAATATTTCTGGTTGCTGGGCAACTGCTGGAGTCTTAACAGAGAAGGGAAACCCAAAACTGAGTTCTACAGGGAGCAACTTCTGTGTTTGGAAGCTTGGGTGCTTGGATGAGCAGAGTGTCCCTGTCTTCTTGTTTGGAGATGCTTACATCAATAATTCCAAGGAGTCAGTTGGTTCCATCTTTGCTCTGTTCAATTGCAACATTCGGAAGGATCCTAAAGTATGTTATTGAATTTGTGAAAAAAGGACACATGCTAACATATGATTCTTCTATTAATTCGTCCTCATTTTTTTCAACACTTCGATTGGTTTCCCTGTGGGCTAATTTCACTATTTTGTGTCCCTTTTTTTTATTTGTAGGGTAGTGGGTTCTCTCTAAGTGCATACACTGCTTCTCAAATTCTGAAGCTGGGGACTTCTGCCGACTTTGGAATTTGTAAAGGGAAGAGAAAAGATGGAAATCCTTGTTCAATGGCTATAAATAGGTATTATTGCTTTATTGTTTCCACATGTTTTTGTACAAAACTTACATCTGCAATTTCCCTCCAAGTAATATATTCTGATCAGGATATTAAATTAGGACCTCATGTTATTCCATGGTTTCGTGTGGTGCGTTGCGGGTTTTGTAATATCTTTAGCCTGAATTGAGAACTCCCCTGAAATTTGAAGAATTGGTTGGAGCACTGAATGGGTTATTTCAACCCATTGGTTCACCATTGTGCCAATTTAGCCATGGTGTATGCTCTAAAACTCAGATATTGTCAATGAAAATTTCCAGAGTAAAGATTGGAAGTACTCAATGCAACTTTATTGTAGACAAAAATGATCTGTTCTGGAAGTTATAGTTCAACTCAAGCTTCAGTCAGAAACTTGCACCATCTTCAACTGAGTGAAGCAGTGGCAAGCAGTTGTAGCAAAGATGATGATTTATATGTGCCATTGTTTAATGAGTCAGACTCGAACTCCAAACCACCAAGAGTCCTAGCCTGAGTCCTTCCTGTTTGACTCGGTGAGTCCAAGTCATACCAGACAATTTTTAATAGGAAAAATTGAAAGATTATGAAAAAATCATGAGACAGCTGATTCCATGCTTGTTCAGCCTGGAATCATTTTGGCTTCCAGTCCCGAGTTGCTTGGGCGATATTGAGTCTGCTCGGTGATTTTTAAGTCACTGATATGTGTAATCACATGGTAAACTATAAATTTATTTAAAAAATTAATAATTCACAACAATTATTCACATATTCATATTTAATATACTTTATGAAAGTTTGATAAACAACAGACAAAATCGCTAAATGAACAACTGATTTTATCCAATGGATCAACTCCAACTAAAAAGATGGATACCTTTATGTCTATTAATAGTTCGTAACTTTTAAACGTCACTCCGGTTCCTCATTATACATACTTATTTGAAACGGGGAAACGAAATCTGGAAAAACTTTGCTTGAGTTTTATATTATACATGATACATTTGTGCAAGAAAGGGAAAGACTTCTTAGATTTAAATTTATAAAATGTTAATCCACATCTATTTAGGGTGGCTATGGACTTGATCAGACCTAGGACCCGACTGGTAGGCCCGACCTCGGGTCTGGGTATGGGTCCAAATTTTGGACCCGAATGTCATTCGGGTTTGGGTCCCGTCGGACCCAACCTGTACCTGTAGTCATAGGGTATATGATGGGAATCATGTGTCTTTAGATGCGCATTAGGTGTTCATATTGTCACAATATTGGCAACATTTACAGTATTATTGACGAAAAAAGAAGTTCATAGTCATAGGGTATCTGATGGTAAAAAAAGGCCAATAAAATAATAATAATAAGCTCATAGTCATAGGATGGCAATAGATCCGGCTAAACCCGAGATTAGACGTATCCGGAATGGGTCCAAATTTTGGACCCAAATACCAATGTTTCAAGAAGCGCTAGGCGGTTGGGGTAGTCCAAGCCGCCCAATGCCTAGGCAGGCGCCCAGAACTTGGGTGGCCCAGTAGAAAGAAAAATGTCTATATAGACTAACAATGCAAGTATAACTGTATAGCACATAAGAATTAGGGATTAAGGCACATTGAATGTATAGTACACAAGTCCACATAGCACACACTCCTCCATACTCTATAACCAGAAGTCCATATCCAATTATCCATAGTCTGATAGTTCACACATAGTTAAAACTTAAATTTACCTCAAAATAATATAAGCAATAAAAAAAAAAAATCACTAACTTTGATGCTTGATCTCCAAACTTCCACCTCTAAGATGTTTCTAAGGACTCAAATCTTCTAAAAAACCTTTTAATAGATTTATAAAACATCAAAAACTAATTCTAATATAAATGGGTGATGCTTAGATCAATTTCTTGTAACTTTGAGAAACCCTTCGATCCTATGGAAATCACCAAAAGCTAATTTTTGGGGTTTTTCTTTCTAAAATAGGCACTAATGGGTTTTAAGTTTCAAATGAACCTAAAACCTATAATTTTGCCCCTTTAGTATTAATAAAATGACAAAAAAATGTCCTAACCAAGGGGCATTTCAGCCCCTGTGCGAGCGCCTAGGGCTGGGCGCTGGGTGCCTAGGGATATCTTGCCTAATTTGGCCGCTTAGGCCTGGGCGATGCGCCCAGGCCTTCTAGACCCGCTTTTTAAATCACTGCCGATTACTATTTGAGTCCGTTACCATCCCTACATCTAAAAGTTAAACAGAATGGTGTAGCATACAACATATCTCTTCTGATATGTTCAAAAGAAATGCAAATTAATGTTGAATCGTCCTTAAAAATATTACCCTCGTCCTATTAACCACATTATTATGCCATATAAGTAATATTTGCTTGGCATGCTTTTTCTCCTCTCAACCTCCTTTATCGTAGTCCTCTATGGGTTCATTCTAGAGTATCTTGTGTCCTAACACCTATGCATGGTTCTACAAGGGCTCCAGTTGCCTTTGTGAGATTAGCTAACTCATGTCACCTCCCTCAAGGTAGTTTCTAGCATTGAGCTTCTCTATTCGCTTGTTGCCATTATATACATGTTCCAAACTGATGATGTTTCTGCTTCCTTAGATTTTGATTTTACCCATTTATACTAGATCATTTAATATCTTTTGCTTTCACGTGTTTCACTTTTTGGTGAATCTGCATATGAAGAGAAAATTAGATCCTAGTAAATTTGTTATTTAAACATTAAAATAGTCAAATAATCTGAACTTGCAATACCAACAACTTCTTCAAATGTGCTATGGTTGTGCTTGCAATCATGTTCATTGCTTATTAAGCTTAGCATGTGAAGGTCACTGTTGTTCTTGTTGGCTCTCCACCACTTGTGTAATTTCCAAGTTGAGTGAGAATGGTTAATTGCAAACTAAAAATCATATCAAAGCTGTTTATGCCATTTGTTGGTTGACCATGATGTTTCCAAATATTGTCGTAGCTTGTTTATTAACCTAACAAGTCATTCGTAATTATGTTCTAGAACTTCATGTTTGTAAGCAGTTTCTCCATGATTGTCTAGAGGCCTTTATGGCCATCTGGAGTCAAATTTTGATGTTGGGGTAGGTGAAAATACTTCATAGTTCATACTCCTTAGATTAATTTAAAGATATTAAAGATAAGTCCACTTACTTTTACTGAACTCATCAATTTCTCTAGTTACCGATAGCTAGTTGGCAAGCTTTTGATAGTTTCCCTCTTTGTGGCATTGATGGGGAATTTTCAACAGAGTTCATGTTCTTTTGCGTTTTAGTATTTTGTCCTGTGAAATTTTAGGTAATATCTTTCCAATAGTTCTTGTCCCTCAAGAAATTGAATTGGGCTTGTCCCTTTCTCATCTTGATGAGAGCAATTGACAGAGCTAATGTAACTTGATTTCTTGTCATCATTTATCAATATGTAATTTAATTGTGTAATAAAAAGTTGTACTCTACTCAGAAATGTGTACTAGTTTGTTACCCTGATCCTTTCCTATAGGTTCTGTTCGATTTCCCTTTTGTTTCTGGTTTTATAGTAAATAACCATTGTTGTAAATTAAGAGGGTGATACGAATCATCATATGCAACCGTGAACACAACATGGAAATCACAAAAGATCTGGAAACCAATATGATGACAGCTTAATGATTTTTTGCAAAGTGATGGCTAAAGCATTGACGATTGCCATCTCCATGACACACAAAGGCTTGGCGTGTACTGCCCCTCTCAAGCCATTGGCCTCTAAGTCAGCCATGCTGAGTGTGTTTCAACCTTTACAGGGCTGAAGACCATGGCTTCCCACCACTGAACTAGAGAATTATGACTCGTCTAGCTGACCACATCAGTGAGTTCTCTTTTGTCAAAATCAATAGGACTTGTATCCAAATGGTAGGTGCAGTGCAGGTGATTTTGAGGGGCCCCGGCCTGGGAAGGGGAGAGTGGCCGAGTGGTCAAAAGCGAAGCAGGCACCAAGGACTGATTCCTGAAGAAGCCTCCTCTCTGGTCAACCTGGATCTCAGACAACCATACATCTTGGCATCCATTCCTCCTGGGAATCCGCCGAAGCATTATGTTATTATTTTGAAGCTAGATGGCACAAAAGATGAATGACGGGCTTGAGCTGCTCCTCAAAATGGCCACCCCCTCAAGAGTGCTGACTTGAAACAGAGCTGGAAGAAAAGTTTGCAGTCTCCTTATGCCACGTAGCTTTAGCAAGAAGGTTACATAGAATTGACTGCCCAAATGAGGCATTCTACTGTCTCCACTTCCTCAGATCACATGATAGGACAGTTAGGATCTGTCTATAACAAGTTATGCATGATCTTTTATTGGACTTTGCTCACAAAAAAAAGATGTACCCTTTAGACACCTGTTGCATGAGCCTATTTGTTTACTGCTGAATGACACCTCGCCAGATATGCTATCGATAATCTTTCAAGGAACACATTTAGAAAATATTGAATTCTTTGATTATTTCCTACTCACTGTTGGGTGTGATGATCTAGTTAAATTTCTAAAAATTCCAAATTTCGTTTTCTGTTGCCAGAGAATAGCCCTTAGTTAACTACCATCTGAAAGGTCTAATAAGAGATATTTTGATATTCAAGTGCTTCAATGATGAGGACACCATACAGCATTTTCTTTTTTGGCATATAATTTCTCTCTTCCAGTACATCATTCCAATTTTCCATATTATTCCTATGTATGTTTGTGTTTTCCTCTTTTGATGTTTTGTTTGTTTGTGTTTCTATCTGTACAGATAGATGAATGGATGAAAGGATAGATTGGTTCTCATTGCTGGATTTCCTCTTTGCTGCAGGGACTATTTATCTAGTTTAAGTTATTAGCCAATGCTTAAGTCTAGATTGGTTCTGATCTTGTTGTCCTCATGTTTCATCTTCATTTTGGAAATTGATTTATACAATCATTTTTGTGGTACCCATATTGGTAGCCTGCTGTTTTAGATTTGGACATCTAATCTTTTGCATGTAATGTCCACTGATTTGCATCCAAATTCCAGAAGTCGGGGAGTCTACTGCAGCTACCATGTTTCGGTAAGAAATCATTTCTACAACTTTTTGAGTGGTCCAAACTTTCTGACAAATGGCTGTTGGCTATCAGATGATATTTGATTCTTATTCATGACAGGCAGCATCTCGCAAGTTCGTAAACATGCGATCAGAGCTTAAGGGTGGGTAAGTGGCTGGCTTTCAGATTATAAAATCACATCTTCACTCTGATACTCGCGCACATAGATCCTTTTGGTTAGAAGCAGTTTGCTGCACAGTTTTCCTTTTCATCATTTATGGAAAACTGGCTAATGGCATTTTCGTTGCAGTGTTGCATGTTGCTCACATCAGGAGAGTAGATAAAAAATAATTTTTAAACAATTTTACTCAATTGAAAATTTAATATTTTTTACTTTTATTTCTTTTTTAGTTTGTAATGTTAAATTTATAGCTGTTGAATTTTCTTCTAACCTTCTATAAAATTTCTAAGTTCTTTCTTGGAGCTAAATTCTCTTGTAGGGACTCTTTTTCAGCAAGAATAATAAGCATAGCTATTGACTTTCTATTTTTTCATTAAATTTCTGTTTTTACTCGCTACTATTTCTTCTCCATAACTGATAATGTTGTTAAAATCATGTTTAGGATTTAACATAAAAGATATTTTTAGGGAGATATGGGCATGGTTTCTTTGGCAAATTGACCATTTGATTTAGATAACAAATCAAACATATTTTAAGTAGAAGGGATTTTATGAATGGAAGTTTGAAGAGCGAGAACGAGAACGAAAGGTTGAGAAATTTTGGTGGGAAAAATAGGAGTTGTGAGAAATTTGAAAGTCACACTTGTATTTATTCTTCACATACTCATATATAAATGAGTACGACGTTGATGCTTTATCTCACAAGTTTGATGTTTCACATGTTTCTTGGCATTACAGAAATATAAAAACAGCGTTTCGGGACCCTCTCAAATTGAGAGGAATTCACTTGGTAGACCCTCTGTCAAACAAAACAAATTTGAACAAGTCTATGAAGCCTGTGAAAGTTCTATCAGTTGATGCACTAAAAAGGGCTCTATGGTATGCTTCATTATTTCATACAAGTTTCTTACTGTGTGTTATCAAAGATTCAAAATAGTTCTTCTAATTGGCGTAATGCTTAGGGCATCAATTTCCTATAAAAAATATCCAAAAATATATTGCTTTAAAATGACAGAAAGATTGGCCATGCTTGATTAGATTTTAGTTATTCGTTCTCCGTTGTCGAGAGAAGTTTTCCAGGGTTTGTTAAGAAATGCTGGTTTCTGTTTCTGGTTCAGTCTTGTTGCAATCAAGTATAATTGTAGATCCGTAGTTGAATGTTTGTGAATAAACCAGTAACAATTGGCTTTATCTTTCTTTTGTTAACTAAACACTAAATTGTGGGGCTCTTTTATTGTATCAATCAAGCTTTAAGAATTTTATATAACATTTTCATTTGGGAAAAGTTTATATAAGGTTGCAACCTTAAAATGTAGAATCACAAATGCACCTCAAAAATTTATCGGAAATGTTGTTTTAATGTTGAAAAAACACTCTAGTCAATCATCTCGACATTGAGATATATGAATATGAAAATAAAAAGTTTTTGAGTCCCAAAAATAGTGCATCTTGCAACAATTATCTAGACCGTCCATTTTCAAGATTTTCATATATTTATAAATCTACTAGATTTTAACCATTTTTGGAATTTAAAATTTTCTAATTAGGTATGAAACTAGATTTTAAGATAATACTAAGAATTTTTTACAACAAAATTACATGTTATGATAAAATTTTAAGGTGCACCTTAATTGGATTTTTTAAGGTTGCAACCTTATAGAAATCACATCCTTTCATTTTCCATAACATAAAAGTTATTGTTCAATCTTGTGTGACTGATCTCAACAGTTAACTTAGACATATAGACTGGCGAGTGGCTTCTCTAAAAACTTGTGTGCAAATTTTATCACTTAGAGATCTAGAGAAATTTCAAAAGAACCCAATCATCCTACATAAAACTGCACATGAATACAGCAAGAAAAACAAAGAAATTCTTGTATAATTTATTTACATTGATCAAAACAGCAGTTAGTTATGTTCAAAGGATCGATGGGTTGCATAACGAATTTAAATGTAATACAAACTCCATTCCTTCCAATGATTCTTAGAATATATCAGTCTACTAAAATGACATTCCATTAAGATTTACTCTTGATGTCATGTTTTTGAACTAGATTCTTGAGTCAATAGAGGAGCCTTGGTGGAGCTCATTTGGTCATTGAATCTCTCAAAATAAGTGATAAGATATGTAGAGAAATCATATTTTCATGAGCTACTATGTATATGAATTGCATTTATAGTGGTCTTTATTCCATATATTTAGGTTGGCCCTAGAGAAGGGGGAATACAATAGCTTTTTATACTTGGAGCTTATTCTTAGAAAACTTGTTAAACCGGGCTCTCTCTCCCCCCCCCCCAGCTCCTCTCCAGGTCTCTCTCTTTTTCTCTACATAATCTCCCTCTTTCTTCTTTTCCTTCAAGTGACATCCTTATTCTCTCTATCTTTATGATCTCTATAAACCGTAGCCTTAAAAATTTCTAAGTTATTTTTGGGATTTTATTAACTGGTTTTCTTGGAACCAGTTAATGAAAGTTCTAAAATGAACTAGATTAATGGCAATGTTGTTAAAAACGGTCTATATGAGCCTTATTCGAATGGGGAACTGCCAAAACCAAAGCTATTCCTATCAATTGGAGTCCTTTGAATTGGTGTGTTTGTCGAACCTAGGCTGAACTGGTGGACTGGCTGGATAAGTCGGTCTAGATTGAATTGGTCCGTTTTGATATAGGTCAAGAAATACAAAATAATCTCTTTTTTCCTTTTGTTTTTCAATTTTTTGTCCTTTTTTAAATAGATTTGGGGCATTTGACCTATTTTAATATTTGGGAGGATTGGGGGTTTAAAAAGTTAACTTTTAGAGCGACAGAGAGAGATTGGCTCTTTTTGCTTTCTCTCTCTCTCCACCCAATAAGCCCCCAAATCCTTATGAAAATCCAACAATTTTTGGATAGGAGTCCGGGCACCAATCCACCCTTATTTCAAGTCCCATGTTCATTGCACCTTTTTCTGGATTTTGTTTGATTTATTTTTAGAAAAATGGAAAGAAATTTTGGATTATTGGGTTTCTTATAAAAAATGATGTTTTTCCTAGATCAAGGCAATAGATTGTTTCCTATATTCATGTTATGTTTCCTATCTTCAATTTTATGGCTCTTTTGCTTTAATAGTGTTTTATTTTGTAAGTTTTTTCTTATATGTTTGCTTATGTGCAATTTTTTCATAGAGGCTTTTTGCCTTTAATTTTATTTTATTGCTTGATGAGTTACTAGAGTGTATCATGGGATATGTGTATACTGTGTTTTACAATTTTCTATGTATTTCCAAATAGTTTTCTATTTTTAATTTTTTTTCTGGATTTTCTGTTTTTCTCCATTTTTCTCTTATTTTTCAGTTTTTTTGTATTTTTTCTCTTTATATTTTGTTTGATTGGTTTGAGTGATGATGTGTCTGGTTTGACTGGCCTCATTGGTTTGACCTTTGGTTCGATTCTGGCAACATTTGGTCAGGGTTGAGGGTTTTAGAAAGATGAGGGATGGTACGGGTTGCGAGTTCTAAATTAAGGGAGGAATGTGGGAGGGTTTTTAGGAGAGAAAAGAACGGAGGAAAATGGGTAGGTGAAAGAGCAATAGTGGAATGGAGGAAAAGAAGTTGTACAGAGAAAGAGAGACTATGTGGGCCCTTTTATAATAAGAGAAGTTCATGAATCATTTAAACCCAATAACAAGGGTGGCACTTGTTATTGTGTATAACAAGGGTGCCACTTTATTTGTGATTCTTATTGTTTGATAAATTAGTGGTTTCTATTAGTCAACAAGAAAGGACATAGTAGGTTTTGTCAATGAGAAAGAACATAGGAGGTGTCATAATTGTATTTATGGATGAGTATCATCCAATTAAAACAAACATTCGATGGAATGTGATACCATTCTAGATAATATTTTAATGCTTCCCATTTGTTTCGAAATGGGTTCTATGCATTTGAAAGTTTTGTTTGTTATACCACTTGGATGCCACCCCAAAGCTTGGTTTAGCATTGTTGGAGTGGCATTTTTCGTGATGATATGATTGTGGTTCAAGTGGTTCCCCCGGATGCCATTTTAGAATCCAATTAGGTATTAGCACACTCACAATGCTACTGTTTCTATGAGTGAGATAGAAATTGGAAATATAAATTTTTCATCCCTATCACAAAACTTCCTTTTCCATTTGTTCGTTGACCGCTGCTTGAAGAAATTGTGTTGGTATCCAAACAAGGAGCTACCTTTGCAAGTCTTGTCTTACAAATCTTCCAGCACAGTATCTTTTGATATGGGATCCAAAGTAGTTTTGTAGCTATATTAATAGCATTAAGTCGTTATAGTGTTTTAAGACCTCTTCCCAATACAGAAAAGCATGTTATATTGGTGAATTCTAACCCCAAACTAGTGTCCATTGTTGGATAAATCTTAACCAAGAGCGACTAAAGGTTGTACTTGGAAGTGAGCTTAATTCTTCCTCGCTTGATGGACTTGTAACATGAGCAAGTAGGAATCTGTGTAAAATCATTTCCTTCTATTTTTCCAATTTGTTCTAATTTAGTCCTGACAGAATTGCAATCCAGTGCCTTTAGTCTTTACTTTAGTACAAATATCCGAGGCATGAATCTTGAGCTTAGGCAAATCCTTAGAGAAGCAATTAATTCCTTCTCTAAGAATAAAATAATATTTATTAAATCAGTTGAGTGGTGAATCATTTTTTTTAAATTAGGGAAATTTGATTAGCCATAATTATGTTTTTTGACCTTTGCTTTTCTTAAGAATATCCCAAAGTAAATATTTAACCTAAAATACTTACCAACTAACATACAAACCAAATATAACTTCCTCTTTCACCGGGAGCCACTTGGTATACCAAACTATTGACCTAACAAGATCTAGTTGGTGAAAAACATAGAGAAGAGAGAAAAGAGGCACACACTATTCTCCCATGAAAACACACACACTAGGGCAATGCCCTAGGTCTTGTGTTATATCATATATTAATGTTACACCTTGACTAAGGACATATTTGCTCTTATACATTACACTAAATGGATTTACAATATATAAATCACTTAAAATACATACGGATTACAGAACTGCCTTTCTTTGCATTCTAACGCTCTCCCTCAAGTTGTACATCATGTTTGAACATGTACGACTTATTCTTTAAGAACTCATGCCTATCTTTTGCAAGCTCGTTGTGAAGACAACTATTTGATTTTCGGTCTTGTCTATCTCCTTAGCTTCAATTTTCTCATGAACAAAATAGTAATCTATTTTGAATGTGTTTAGTGCAATCGTGAAATATTGGATTTGCTGAAATTGCCGAAGCACTCTTGTTGTCGCATTGAACTGTTGACTTGCATATTTTTTTTCCAAGAAAAGAAAGAAGATTTCACATCCATGAAATCTGAGAAACTACATTAGGTAGTGCTTGATATTCAGCCTCACTGCTAGAGCGTGCAACAATTTTCTGTTTCTTACTTGATGAAATTAGACTTCTTCAAAGAAAGAAACAATAACCTAAAAATGATCTTCAAGATTCTGGATCTCCAGCCTAGTCTGCATCAAAGTGCCAAATTACATAAGTGGTATTCATTTTATTATTGTCATTTCTTTCATAGAGCAGTCCGTGATTTACTGTTCCTTTTATATACTTGATTATTCTCTTCATTGTTTCCATCTGTGTCAGTGGGAGGACACATAAATTGACACACTTGGTTAACATATGATATATCAAGCCTGATGAGAGTGAGATACAATAATTCCCTTGCTAAACTTCTGTATCTCTCTAGATTATCTAAAGATTGTCTTTCAGATATCCTTGATTTTTTATTCAGAGTAATTGGTATATGATAATGGCCTGCAATCATATTTGCCTTTTAAAGGTCTTTTCAAGAAGGTCTAGATCATTACTTTGTTGAGGCAAACATATTTGATTCTCATTTCGATCTACTTCAATTTCCAGGAAGTATCTCAAGTGACCTAAGGCTTTCATCATAAATCTATCATGCAAAAATATCTTGACACCATTAATTAGGTCTATAAAACTCTTAGAACTTTTAAGTCACCAACATAAAACAGTATGATGATATCACCTTCATTATTTTGACAAATAAACAACGAATGATCTGATGTTGCCATGATAAAAACCTTTTATTTTAACGCATTATGAAAACATTGAAACGTTGTTCTTGGAGCCAGTTTTAGCCCATATACAGATCTTTTCAGCTTGGAAAGATGAGTCTCTGGATTCACTTCATGGAAATCCGGTGGTTGTTCAATGCAGACTTTTTCGACAAAATTTCCATGCAAAAAGGCATTCTTAACGTCCAACTGAAAAAGAGACTAACTGCAGGCTAAAGCAAGGGAAATAATTACACGAATTGTCACCATCTTAACACATGATTAAATGCTTCACATAATCAGGTCTATGTTGTTTATTAGACCCTTTTGTAACCAGCCTTGCTTTAAACCTAGTCGCATTGTCATCTAACTTGTACTTCACTTTATAGACCCACTTTTTATCTGCAGGTCAAGGAAATATCTCCCAAGACTTGTTTATGTACATAGCGTTCATCTCTTTAGCTATAGCGTCAATCTGTCACCAATCTTTTCTTCCCTCAAAATAAGTTCTAGGCTCTCTGCTTTTGAGAATTTCACACATAAAAACTTGAAAACTATGAGTGAAGGTATCATAACTTACACATTGATAATTGGATCCTTTGTTCTGATTGACCTATGTAGGTTTGGGTGCTCTCTTAAACTTCAACTGGCCTATCTTCTTGTTGCCCTTCACACCTTTTTCTTTAATATACTATAATATCCTTGGTTGATTTTGAGGGTTTTCAATTTTATGATAGTCTTCATTTGGACTATGAGAGTCTTCATTTGGACTATCTTCTTACTTTCATTCATGCCTTCTTGTTTGATATGCTATAATATCCTTGGCTGATTTATGAGGGGCTTCAATTTTATGAAAGTCCTCATTTTGATCTTGGTCCATATATTCCTCGATCTCTTCCCCAGGTCTTGGAGGAGTTTATCAATTGTCTTGAAAGGTGTGGTGGCTATGTATTCCAAGATAAAAATTCAAAAAATTCTTTTGTAGTAACATGAATCTCTACTTACGATTGTGACACTACAATGCAGAAGTAAACCTAAAACAATATAGGATTTTAATTCTTACTACCAAAATAAAAATTTGAAGCTAAAAAATATTGGACGCTTACAATATGAATTATAATACAATTATGAATTCTAACTAAGCAGGAGTCCTCGTCCTAGTAGGAATCCTAATTTAAATAGGACTCCTAATACAATTAGGACTTCTATAACAAATATGAATCAAGAACACCCCTCACCCGATGGCCGAACCGATGCCACACTTGATCTTTAGGTCTTGCTGAATCCTTTGAACTTGGGAAGCACCTATGGAATACCTTCTATCTGTTCTAGGGGGCTAAGAGCATGGGCTACTAGAAATTTCTTTAGACCCTTAATCAACCTTTTTGGGGCATGTCACTATGTGGCACCCCCCCTAAACCAAGATGGGTCTAGGCACGCCTCCTCTCCCTGACCTAGGCAAGGTTTGCCACCCTAGGCTCATATGGGTGTTGCTTGCTGCCATCGTAGAGAGAGAGAGAGAGAGAGAGAGAGAGAGAGTAGTAGAAGAAGAGGTAGTAAGAACGGTGGGTGGACGACCTACTATAGTACGTACTTAACGTAGTAGGTACTACTACGTAGTAAGTAACGTAATA